AGGCCTGGATTAAAGTTGGTTAGCTATGGGTTCGTTTTGAAAACGCTCCTCTTTCGTCGTTCCTTGCATCGCTCTCTCTGCGTGCGGATGACTTCGCTACGCATTGGGAAAACACATGGGCTCGCAACTGCGGTAGCAAGTGATCATTTCCTTTTTAACAGTAATGCAGAGAGAAAGCACAATTTTTATTACTGTTTCTGTATGCACGTTTTTCTTTGCTTTACTTTTATTCATTTATATCCACATACATCTGCTAGAAAGCGAGAAGCCAATTTGCAGAGGAAAAGGGAGGCGCGGAGCTGAGCAGTCGCTGGAATGCCACTGTTGCGGAATGGTCTTCGGTTGCAAATCCATTTTCTGATACGAATAGCTCGGGAATAAAATTCACTGATGCTCGGGAATTAATCATCCGATCAGACAGACTAAAAACACTCACAAGACAGGTCTGAAGGTGTTAAATTGCACTAATGTGTGGGCATTTGATAAAAAGAAGACACTAAGAAATTTAACCTGGTTTTCCTTTACTAAGCTAATAGAAGTTATTTTTGACCACATATGGCAAGTGAAGTAAAAAAACTCCGACGTGTTTTTTCGCATCACGCATTACTAGTTCGGAGCAGCTGATCGAAAAAGCATTTAAGGAAGTTGATCCCCGTAACATATGCAGAGTTTAACGAATTAAAAAAGTGAAATAGTTTGTCGAAATAGATCCAGGCGTTTACATAGTTTCACTTATACTGTGTGAGTTGTAAAAAATCTAATTTCATGTGTGTTATAAAATCGATTCAGGATGAAGGAGAAAAAATTTCAGTACGGCGCAGAGAATCCCTTTACATTGCTTCACGATTACATGGGCCACTTGCTGTCGTGGGAAAATACGTCCGGCTTTGAGCACACATCGAACACGCCGATCAGCGACGATGCTGACATTTGCGCATTTGCGTACACCCTCATTAAGCCCACCAGACCGTACGAGAACAACGATTTCCACATTACGCTTAAAGTGGTCAACAAAAAGGTGAATTGAAGGAAACAATAGTAAGAAATTAAAAGTAAATGAAGTGGTCGATAAACAGCCATAGTGGTAATTAAAAAAGAACCAGTACTACCGACAGTAAACAAGTAATAATCCGAGTGGTTAGTGAGAAGGTTAAGAAACTAAAAATTTTGTCTTTTTTGATAAACATTAAGAATTAAAGATTTTTTTCTTCAAGAATCCAAAAACTTGGTTAAGAAACAAAAAATTTTGGTAAAGGGGCTGCAAATTCTGTCTTTTGACAAATATTTACATTTCGCGAGGGTCTTATGCCAAGAGCGATTGCGAATAGTGATTGTTGTTACTTTTCTGTTGCAACGAATTTTTTACTTCATTAAACTTTGTAAAAAGCACAGAGAGCCTGCGTTTGGATTTTGTTTCGGTCAATAAACAGTTTGTCATGAACTGGAAAACTGACAATGCGTTGCATTAAATTTTTCTAGAATAGTTCACTGGATTCCGTGAAAGTTTCACTGGAAATGACCCGGAATGGTGTCACTACAGCACTGATACAATTCCGACAAAGCCCAGCGATACTAAATGGAATTGGTACTGTTGATGGTACTTCCAGACTATTATCAAATGCATCATTTACTGCTCGTTGGAAGCTGAAACCGGTGAACAATGTGCGGCTGACTCATGATGCTCAGTATCAGGTCTCTGGTCCTTTATCCTGATTCAGATGGATTTATTGCAACGCAAAGCTATTCGCTTTTAAGCAAGCGAAATAGCCGGAGCTGGAAGTTCAACGCCGAGAACACCATTTGCTCCACAGTGTGAAAGGCAAAAGCACCCGGGAAGTAGCACAAGTAGTAAGTGCCAGTGGCAACCACCAGCTAATAAGGCTGTCGATAACTCTCTTTTTCGGGGTTTGCTCAGAAGCAGATATATGCACAGCACCAGTTTACCATCGTAACGGGTGAACAAGGAATCGGTTGCCCCACGTACGGATTCGAACCTTGCCCTACACCACATCACTACTGCACTACTTTTCATGGCCTCAGGCCGCCCAGGATACTTAACTAGGTCAGGCAACAATCACAATGCTTGCTCTGCGAGCTCATAGGAACTAAGAATGTTTCAGCCTACTTCATTATTGATTCATATAAAAAAAAA